ATGCAGCCCTGGGCGGGCACCCGTCTGCCGGGTGTGGGGACAGCCCCACAGCACCGGCTGGGACAGCGTGTGGAGAAGGGGCGATGCCAGAGAGACCGTACACAGAAGGCGCTCCGATAGCTGCTCGGGACGAGACACAGGTGCTGGCGGGTCAGACGGGGGGTGGGGGGGGTCTCCCTGCCAACTGCAGCTCCACTGGGTGATACGGGGCCTCGAGGGGACAGGAAGCTGGAGGGTGAGGACACCCAGGCCCGAGGGGGACAGCTGGACAGGCCCAGGGACCTGTGGAGGGTCACCCTCTGGGCGCAGGGTGCTCCATGCCCCGCCCAGTGCCACATCTCCCAACACTCTCGGGCTGGGCAAGCGGCCTGCCTGATACCCCTTCTTTCGGCACCGGCCTGGCCACCTCCCACCCCGAGCCTTGCCCGATACCCAAGGCTGGGGTGGTGCCTCCCCTGCGTGGCTATGTGACGCTCACTTTCAACAGAAGGGTACCCACAGCTCACTGCTGCCGGCCCAGCGCCCAGAGTGGTGGGCTCGGAGAGTCAGAGACCTCGGCCACGCTCCAAGCCTTTCTGTGCTGCAGCCTCGGGCTCATGCCAGGTGCCCACCTCCCCCTGGCACACTGGTGCCCAGCACCTGGCCCGGCTCCAACCCAATCCACTGCCCACCTCAGGCTCATCCCGGCCCGACCCCATTCTTCAGGAGCATCACTGTGTCCCACCACCTCCAGCAAGCCTCCCTGACTGCACTGGGCACCCGGGGCAATCGCCGGGCACACGCCACCCCAGGGGCCTAAAGGTATCAGTCCTGAGGGAGCCTGAGGCCGACTCCGCCCCGCATGCGCTCGGACAAGCCCCGACCTCCTGGCCTCAGTTCTTCCACCTGCACAAGGAAGGGCGGTCCATGCACAACATGGAACATGCACTGACCAGGAAGGCCCCGGCCGGCCCCCAGCTCAGCACCGGAGCCCGAGCTCCCCCTGCCCTCGCGGGGAGTGTGCCCGCGGCAGGAGCCGGCCCCGCCCGCATCACCGCGCCCCGCGCCTGCAGCCTCAGGGAGGAATCCCGCTGACACCATGGCCCCGCTGAGGTTTCGATTTCTGAACGAGAACTGGGGCTGAGGAGCCGAAAACAAGAAAAGAAAGAAACTGGAAAAACCTGCAGCCGCCACAAGAGGGCAGTCGGGAGGCAGTGGGAAGGAGAGGACACCGGGCCAGCCACTTTGACGAAGGGAACAGATGGCGAGACCCCAACCCCAGGGCGCCCACCCTCTGGAGAGAGTGACTCTGAGCGCAGGGGTCACCAAACCTGCCGATGGGGAAACTGAGCCACGGACAGCCAGGAGCGGGAGGAGGCCACAGCGAGCCAGGGCTGAGGGCCCAGACCCAGGCCTGGCTGCACCGCCGGGCCTTGCAGTGACTTCAGAGGAGTGACCTTCGTGCTCCCTGCCGGCCCCGCCCCCCGCAAATGTCAGTAAGCCGGGCCCACAAATCCAAGGCCAAGAGGCCGGCGGCTGGAGCCCACTGCTCCAGGCCCCGGAGCTGGGGTCACCCCGCCAGGGCTGCAGGGGGAACAGAGCACAGCTTGACCCCGGCGTCCAGCAGGTTGGGGACGCCTGATGGCCTCTGTAGCTCCCTGCCCCCCACCACTCTCCAATCGGCGCTGCCCCCACTACGGCCTCCTCAACCGTCCCCACTGGACAGCAGGGACACAGCTCAGGACCCATGTGCACCCCCGTCCCGTGCCAGCCTCGGCCCATTCCCGCCCCACCTCCCACCTCCGGCCGGGGCCCTCACCGTCCTCGGGCTCTGCCTGTGTCCCTGCAGCCCCGTGCTGGCCCTGGACACTACCCCCACGGAGAGGGTCGAGCAAGAGCTGTCCCCGCGGCACCGGGCGCCACCATGCGGGACCGAGGCTGCCCTCCTGGGGTCCCGGAGCCTGGCCTACAGCAGGCGCTCAGGAGGGATCTGGTGGGTGAGATTCCCGGGCCCGGACATGCTGCCCATAGTGCAGCAGCAGCAGCAGCAGCAGCGGCCTCTACAGGGAGTGAGCGTCCCGTCACAAGAGGTATGCAAGCAGCCACCCGCCACGAGAGTGCGGCGAAGCTTCCGGTGCAGGGCTGGGGGCGGCTCAGGAAGGAGGGCCCGGCGCCTACCTTCCCGCTTCATGCCCATCGCCAGGCACTTCTGGTAGCGGCAGTACTGGCAGCGGTTCCGCTGCCGCTTGTCGATCAGGCAGTCCTTGTTGTCCCGGCAGGTGTAGGTCAGGTC